CTTTGTCGACCTCCAGAATAAGTATTATCAGGATTCTCATTTCACGGGTGGGAAACCGTTTGCCCAGGAGTCACACAGCTAGTATATGTTCGAGCAGGCTCTCTCCTTCCCCAGGCCTTTCCTTTATCCACTAGGAAGTACGGGGCTCTTTCCTAGATGCTAGGTAATTAGGTAATTTAGACTTTTGTTCCCTTGCCTCTGCTGAGAGGCGGGGAGCTGGACCTTGAGGACTGGCAGCTCGAAATTTCAGTGCACCAACAGTTGAGAAAAAGAACAATGGGAAAAGGCCCAGAAACTGACAGGCAGAAGGCTTACTCCACGTGAGCTGCTCTAGAACAGTGAGCAGGTGGCTTCTGAACAACAGAAATGGATTTCTCCCAGTACTGGAGGCTGGGAAGTTCAAAGTCAAGGCAAAGTTGACATCCAGGGAGTGCCCACTTCTCATTCTTAGATGACAACGTCGTGCTGTGCCTTTCCGTGGTGGAAGAAGCAGGGCAACTGCTGGCGTGGCTTTTTGGACACTAACCTCATTCCCGAGGGCTCTGGCCTCGTGGTCTTATTACCTCCCAAAGGCTTCATCTCCTGAAACATTACATGGGGATCAGGATTTCAACACAGAAATCAGAAGGAAACACAAATATTTGGAATGTAATAAACCTGGTTTGTGCCAGAAGCTAGTTACCTAAAATTAAAATGGGAAAACTATTCTTATGAAAACTGTACTATTCTGGACCTCAGTAGCAGCAGCCTGGCCCTGGAAGCCCCATTGGCAGCGTTAGCAAGCATAGGAAGGAACAGAGCACAGGCACAGGCCATTAGGCAGCCACAGGCTGATCAAAGGACTGAGAAGGAAGTCCTGAGAGCCCTGGAGGGAGCAGGAGCAAGACCCCAGGAAAGGTAAGGAAATTGCTCTCCTGGCCACTAGTAGAGGATGCTAATGGAGTTTAATGGTTCTGCCCATTTGAGCGTCTCCTGGATGGCACAGCATCTATTCTTAGTGAGAAGAAGGAGACCACTGAAATGTCCTGAAGCACAGTGTTGAGTGCTGAGTGCTGAGCTCTCCGGGTGGTGAGGGAGACTGTGACCCTTACCTTTGTTGCAGCTCACCGGTGTCTGGCCCCTTTGAGGACTCACTTCTGCCCAAGTGAGGGCTGCTGCCTTAGCAGTTAGAAGCAACGGTGAAGCCAGGTAGATATCTGAGCATTCATTAGGGCAAGATGGCCTTGTTTTTTGAGCATTGTTTTTTAAAGTGAAGGGAAAAACAAAACCTGCCTATCCCCCACCCTTGTGTGCTCAAAAAGTATACAGCACCCTAAACACTTTGGGGATAGCAGTTCTTGCTGAGGGAAACAAGACTGTCCCTAGAGGCCAGGCAAGGAGGGAACAGGAGAGCCTTCCCAGCCAAGTGAACTGAACTCTGCCCTTTTCTCCTGACCTGAGCTGCCTTGTTCCTTTGGAGCAATAAAAATCGGGGAGTCTAAACAGCCATTTTGTGCTAAGCTCTGTCTAAATACTAAGAGCAGCTAAGATAAGACCTTCTTCCACCTCCAGCCCCCAAAAGAGCAAGTGAAGATGAAGGAAAGGGAAGAAAGGCCCCAGGAAACACCAGTTGTCAAACATAAAAGGTCAGCAGCCACCTGGGAAGCCTCTGCTGTCTGAAGGATGTGAAAATGGAGTTGTCCGGAGGATATGGAAAATGGAGTTGACTGACCCCACTTGCTCCTTTGCCGCAGTTTTGGAGATGATGCACCTACTTTCACCAGTTTTCCCACCATACAGCTGCCAGTTGCTTATGCTCATGGCTGTGTCCCCCTTGAGCCTTTGATTAACAGATTAGCTCACAGGGGTGATGACATGGTCCCAGCATGGCCCTCTGAGCCTCATCTTCCTCATAGTCCATACAGCATCAGGCAGAGAACTGGGCCTTCTTCAAGTACCTGTGCAAAGACTGAATGGCGTTATTGAACACAGGCACGTTGCAAATGCTGTTCTCAGTGTGCTTGGAGCACCTATTCAGCATTCATGCAGTGGTCAGAGGACAACCTACGGGAGTCAGTTCTCTCCTTCCCCCATGTGGGCTCCAGGCTGCCAGGCTTCCCATCATATGCCCTAACTGGCTGGACCATCTCACCAGGCCAAAATTTAAAAATAAGGTAACAGGGGTCAGGGATACAGCTCAGTTGAAAAGTGCTTGCCTGACATGCACAAGGCCCTGATTTCCATCCCCAGAAAGACAGACATGTACTGAGAAGCCACCAAGCTCCAGTCCTGCATATAACTGCATGTCCTCAGCCTCCTGGAAATTGTCATCTTCCAAATTTGTTTTCTTCATGTACATTCTCCCTTCCAGTCAAGATGTTGCTGTCAAAGTTTGCTCTTAGAAAATTTAGCCATAGCTGCTGGCTGGGGGTGGGGGAGCTCCTCTGGCTCAAGGCCCTGGGCCTCTGCACAGTCTACTCATGCTTCCTCACAAGCTGCTTACCTGCATCTCAAATGCATTCTCTTGGAGGCTCAGCTATGCTCTGGGCTTCCCCACCCCAAGCCCTCAGTGGCCACACTGGCATTGACTGTTCCTCTCCTCTCTTCACAAGCACAAAACTAATCTGCTGTATTTGCTCACCTTTCCTGAAATGATGGCAGGCTTTCAGAGCAGCTCGTCATTGCTCAGGCCTGATGCTGAAATGTAAGACACTTCCACTGGCAGAATCAAGGTGAGCTCAAAGGCACACCACTGCAGAGCCGCTGCCCATGCCCACTGTGTGAATCCATCTACTGTAGAGCATTCCCAGCTACAGCACAACTATATGGGGCCTGGTGACACCAAAAGTGATGTGAGTCATGTGGTTCACAAGACAGAAAGATCCATTTACTGCAATATTATTAATGGCTTGTTATTGCTGCTGTTGTTTAATTATTGATTCTAATTTCATTTATGTAATGATAATAAAATGGTCTGACAAAAAGCAACTCAGAAGAACAGGGATATTATTCAGCTTACAATTCCAGTCTGTTATTATGAGGAAGCTAAGGCAGGAACTTAAAGCATCATATCTACAGTCAAGAGCACAGAGAATAAACCCAACAGCCCTTCCTTCCTTCCTTCTTTTCTTCCTTCCTTCTTTTCTTCCTTCCTTCTTTTCTTCCTGCTTTCTTTCCTCCCTTCCTTCCATTTGAGTTCAGCTAGCTTTCTTTACCTCTATGCAGGTCAGGGTCCAGCCTAGGGAATAGTGCTGCCCTGTCTTCCTACATCAATCAACAGTGAGGACAGTCCCCTGCAGACGTGCCCACAGGCCAATGTAAGCCAGATAATTCCTCATTCAGACTGTCTTCCCAGGTGACTCTAGGTTCCATCAAAATGACAGTTAAAACTAACCAGCACAGTGGCTATTTGCCAAAGGACTCAAGCCTCTTACCATAACTGCCTTCCACATACATGCTTCAGATGGTTTGGGAATTGCACAGCTTTGCATTCACATTGAATCCTACACATCTCCAGAAAATCAAGGTCATTTCCAAGTGACAAGTTGAAAAGTTCTGAGCTCCTGTTTGCTACACTGACAAACCATCTTTTTCCTACTTATTTTTCCCTTCTCTTCCCTGACCCACTGATCTTGAACTCCTAGCCTCAAGTGATTCTCCTGCCCATACCCCCCAAGTATCTGGGACTATACCTTTGTCTTGCTATCTTAAAACTCCTACAATGAAACATTCTCTTTTCAGCAAGTAATACATGCACACAAAATCCAAACGGTGGCATAAACACACATTGAAAACCCAGTCTCCTCACCCTTTGTGCCCTCCCCACCCAGCTCTCTCCCAAAGACAACACCATGGTTCTCACTTTCCTCCCTGTATCTTTCCAAAGATGGCTTATGCAAAGGTCTACATAAATGTGAAGACTTGTGATCTTTCTGGTTTTAGGTAGTCAGCAATGTACTGTGCATAGTCTTCTACACCCGTGGTTCTCAACCTGTGGGTTGCAAACCCTTGGGAGTCGAACAACTCTTTCACAGGGGTTACATATCAGATATCCTGCATATTAGATACTTACATTATGATTCATAACAGTAGCAGAATTGCTGTTATGATGTAGCAATGAAAATAATTTTATGGTTGGGGGTCACCACAGCATGAGGAGCTGTGTTAAAGGGTTGCAGCATTAGGAAGGCTGAGAACCACTGTTCTACACCCTTTCTTTTTCACTAAAAATATGTCTTGAGGGTAACACCTATCCATCCAGATAGAGTAGCCACATATTCTTAATTATGACATAGTAGTCTATAGCATGTCTTATTTCCTACTGGTGAACATCCAGACTTATCTCCAGTCTTTTGCTGTTACTAACACTGCAGTAGCAAACATCCTTGTAACATATATTGTTTCATATATATGCATATATAACTGCAGAATAAATTCCTTAGGTAGTAGTATTTTAACCAAATGTTAGATAGTGGGCTGGGTCTATATAGTCATTTTGTGGAGTCCTTGTTTCACATGTACAAAGCCCTAGGTTTCAACCCAGCACTGAATAAACTAAATATGGTGGTACATACCTGTAATCCCAGCACTCAGGAAGTGGAGGCAGGAGAATCAGAAGTTCAAAGTCATGCTCAACTGTATAGTGAGTTCAAGACCAGCTTAGGTTACATGGACCCTGTCATCAAAAACATGCTAGTATATGTGGTCATTTGAAAGAAAATGGCCCCCATAGGGTCTTAGGGAGTGGCACTATTAGGAGGTATGGCCTTGTCGGAGTAGGTGTGGCTTTGTTGGAGGAAATGTGTCACTGGCTTTCAGGTCTCAAGCTCAAGCCAGGCCTAGTGTGGCTCACTGTCACTCTCTGCTGCCTGCGGATACAAATGTAGAGCTCTCAGCTCCTTCTCCAGCACCATGTCTGCCTGCATGCCACTATGCTTCCTGCCTTGATGATAATGGACTAAACCTCTGAACTGTAAACCAGTCCCAATTAAATGTTTTCCTTTATAAGAGTTGCCACGGTCAGCCTCCTTGTGCTTACCACAGGGTGTGTTCTTACACTGACTGTATAGAAAGAGGAGGCAGAATGAACCTACCCCATGTACACCTCAGCCTAGGCCAGTGTGCCTGGTCTGTATTGTGAATGGGGAGACATGGGGGAAAAAAAGAGTTGCCAAGGTCTTGGTGTTACTTCTCATCAATAAAGCCCTAACTGAGATATGTATATATGTGATATGCATATATACATATATATGTATATATAGGAGTTGTATCTTTGTAAATATTATTTAACTATTTCAATATTCATGGAAAGAATATTTAGCAAATGCTACCTCTTCTGAGGGCCTGGGAAGCTTAGAAACTTTCAAATGTTTAGCATTAAAGTGTTTGTTTTTTCCTTTTTTTCAATATACAGTAAGCACCTACAGTGTGAAAGAAATGTTAGTAGGCTTTTGGAAAAGACCCATGTCAACACAGATGTGGTCACTGACCCTGTGGTATTTGCAGTCCCAGCAGGATAGGGGGTAGGAAGAGAGTACAAGGAAGAAATAATTCTACACAACTGATCATTGCAAATTCTTATCAAATGCCATGAAGAGCATGGTGACCAAGAAGTGCTTGCTTGATAAGCTTTAGTCTAGGTATCTGAGAAGATTTCCCTGAGAAAATGCCATTTCTCCTGATCATTATGACAAACGTGGCTAGACAGAGAATATAGCAGATTTCAAGTCCTAGAGGTAGGAAGGCATGTGGAGTTGGGCCAGCGACAAGGATTATATAAGCTGGAAAGTGTCTTCAAGGTCATTCCATTTCAGTTTCCTTAGTACACACGTGAGGAAACCAAGGTCCCAAAAAGTCAATGACTTAGTCAAGGTCACACTGAGAGTTGCAGAGCCGGGCCTAGTTCTCCTGAGTTCTTTCAGGTGGTGGTATACTGCAGGATCTAGCGTGCTCCTCCTGGGGGCTAGGATCTGAAGCAGGCGGCTGCATTTTACTAGCCTAGAGAGTTGCCTGGCTTTGTGTAGAAGAAACCTTGAGTTCAGGCCCTTGTGACTAGCCATCTACTGTGGTTCTGTTTCTCTTTGCTAGGAAGATGCAATTTAAGAACCCAGCAATCTAGCATTCCAGTCTAGCAGGTTGGCTTGGTCTTCAGCCTACTTGTCTCTTCTCCAAGTTTAGATAATTGTAATAATGATGATCGCCTTAATGATGGCGATTAGTTATTCAGTGCTTGCTCTGTATCAAGTAGAGTTCTAAGCACTTTGCATGTGCTAAATTATTTAATATAAACAACAATCCTATAAGGTATATGTTATTACTCCATTTTACAGGGGAAAGGGGGCCTCAGACAGATCAAGGCATTTGCTGAAGGTTACAAGCTAGTGAGTTATCGCAAGCTGTCTAGCTCCAATGCTTAGAGAATGGCATGAAAGTAGCAAGCCCTGTGGGCAGGCACAGTAAGGATGTAGATGAGGGACAGCAAAGCTGAATGAAATCAAGGATGGGGCTATTTACTGAAACACAAACGGGGCTTAGTACATGCAAGGTCCTGAATTCAATCCCCAGCAGCACAAGAAAAAAAATACCAACGTAAGACCACATCAAGGACAAAGACACCTTATGGTTCTATTCAGCACAGTCCCTCAGCTCATTAATGCCTCTGGTCACTTGCTGGCTCCTTTATGTCCTGTTTGGCTTCATGTTCCTCATCCCCATGTTCTCCCTGCCCCTTCCTCCCTCCCTCCCTCTTCCCCCACTCTGTGAGTTTGTCTGTCGGTGCATGTCATATGTCTGCACATGTGTGTGGAGGCCAGAGGTCAGTGTTGGGTGCTGTTCTTCAGAAGCCATCCACCTTGTTTTTTTGAGAGAGTCTCTCACTGGGGCCTTGCACTAGGCAAGTAGCTATGATGGCTGAGTACTGAGCCACAGGGATCACCTTGTCTCTGCCTCACCAGCACTGGGATAGCAGGCACCGTCATGCCCATCTTTTCCCATGGGTGCTGGGGGTTGAAACCAGACCTTGTATAACAGGCATCTTACTGACTGGACTTATCTCCAGCCCTTTTTCATTCTTTCCTTTGAGACAGGTCTCACATATCCCAGGCTGGTTTTGAACTTGATATTAGCTGAGGATGACCTTGGCGTTTTGATGCTGCTGCCTTCACCGCCCCAGTGCTAGAATTACAGTCGTGGGTCACCATGCCCAGTCCGTGCGGTGCTGCAGATGGAGCCCAGAGCTTTGTTAGAGTGCTAACAAGTGCTCTATCAAGAGAGCTGCAACTCCAGGCCCCTTGCTTTTCATTCTTGTGGCTTTTTTGCTCCCATTCTGAAGTCCATGCCACTTGTCCCTCAGCTTATCGTCAACCCCACAAACTCCCTCTGATTCGTACTGCCGAAGATGAATGCATGGAAGGGCAGCTGGGGGCCACGAAAAGTTCATGGCCTCAGATCTGTGCCACTCCTCAGTCTGCAGAGCTAGTCTTCAGGGTGTCCTTGGCACGTCCCTCATAACGACTTTTTCAAACCTTACCAAACTCCTCACTGCACACCCATCACCTCCTCCCTGAGTAGTTAACCTGGCTTGCTCTGTCATGGGAAACGAGAGTGACAAACAGACTCAACCCTTTGCTTCTTGTCCCACTCTCTGATTCCCAAATGAAAACAGTCCAATTCGCTTGTTTTGGTGCAGAGTTCTAGGAGCCTTGGATGGATGTATAGGTTTGGGTGACTGCCTCCACAATCAAGACATAGAACTGTTCTGTCAATCCCCAAATTCTCGTGCACTCCCTTTGCAGTCAAGGCCTCCAGGACCACCCCTAAGATGATAACACTTCATGTGTTCTCCATCCCTCTAATGTTATCTTCTGAGAATAGCTCACTCAGTATAGTTCCTCTGGAATTTATTCATGCCGTTGTATTCAGCAATAGCTTATTATTTCTATTTTAAGATTATATTTAATTATACATATGTGTGTCTGTCTGTGTGTGGCTATGTACACATGAGTGTGGATGCCTACAGAAATCAGAAGAGGGTACTGGATTTTCCTGGAACTGGAGTTACAGGCAGTTGTGAGCTACCCAACGTAGGTTCTGGGAATTGAATTTAGCCCACTGCAAAAGCAGCAGGTGCTCTTAACCACTGAGCTCTCTCTCCAGCCCCCAGCTTGTTTTTTCTCTTTTCTATAGATTTGATTTAAACTATGTATATGGGGGGTGGGTATACACACCCATGTGGGGGTGCCTGCCTCAGCCTCACAAGTACTGCAATTACAGAGACAAGAGAGTTACTTTCAGGGATTGACCATTTTGATGATGACAGTTTTATCAGTAGTTCTGGGGTGGTTACAAAGTTCATGAGTGGCTGAAGGAAAGGTGAGGCCAGACTGAGACTGGCCCAGACTGTCCTGTTTTGCATTCTCTTACTCTTTGAAAAGTTTAGACACATGTACAAATATCTGGGTCATATGTACCCCTCACTCCCTTCTCCCAACTCCCCCTGGACCATGCCCACAGTGTATCTCCCCTCTCCAGCTTAATATCGTCTTTCCCCCTTTCTTTCTAAAGTTACCTAAGATGATGGTGAAGCTGGGCTTAAACTGAACCACCAGGTGTCAGTCTCCAGTAACTGTCGAAGGGTGGCCAGGAGGTCCACAATGACAATGGGACAAGGACATGGAGTAGTTTGAGCCCCAGATGAGCAATTGTGTCACAAGAGTCAAGCAGACAGCAATAAGCAACCAGAAGAATGCCACAAATAACCCTGTTCTCAACCCTGAAACATTTGTGTTGTGGGAAGATAAGCCCCTATGTGGTGGTTTCTTAGGAGAGGTGTTCAAATCTTAGATGGTCTTATAATAAAAAAAAACCTCTGAGCCAGCCCGTTGGTGGCGGCGGCGGCGGCGGCGGCGGCGGCGGCGGCGGCGGCGGCGGCGGCGGCGGCGGCGGCGCACGCCTTTAATCCCAGCACTCGGGAGGCTGAACCAGGCAGATCTCTGTGAGTTCAAGGCTAGCCTGCTCTACAGAGCGAGATCCAGGACAGGCACCAAAACTACACAGAGAAACTCTGTCTCAAAAAAACAAAACAAAACAAAACAAAAACAAAAACCCTCTGAGTCAGATATTAGGGTGAAAGCTGAAAGATCAGAAAAGCAGAGCAAGACACCTATTACCTCACCAACTCCATGAATCCTCAAACTCAAAGCCTGAGTCTACCGAAAGGGTCTCAGCTGAGCTGCCTTAGTTCCTGTCTCCTCAGCCTTATATACCTTTCTCCACCCTGCTGTCATTTCCTGGGATTAAAGGCATGTGTGTTTTCCAGTACTGGGATTAAAGGTGTGTGCCACCACTGCCTGGCTCTGTTTCCAGTGTGGCCTTGAACTCATAGACATCCACTCTGACTCCCGAGTGATAGGATTAAGGGTGTGTGCCACCACTGCCTGACCTCTATGTCTAATCTAGTGGCTTGTCCTTTGTTCCTCTGGCAAGCTTTATTGGGGTACACAATTTTATATCACCACAGAGAGGGATCCTTTAAAATAAGGAGTTGGGAGGGCACCTAAAATGGTTAGTCCGGGGCTGGAGAGATTGCTCAGTAGTTAAGAGCACTTTTCTTTACCTTGCAGCTAACAACAATTTATAACTCCAGTTCTAAGGGCATCTGATATCCTCACATGTACCTGGTACACAAATCTCCCATATAGGTAAAACAAAAAATAAATAAATCGCCGGGCAGTGGTGGCGCACGCCTTTAATCCCAGCACTTGGGAGGCAGAGCCAGGCGGATCTCTGTGAGTTCGAGGCCAGCCTGGTCTCCAAAGCGAGTTCCAGGAAAGGCGCAAAGCTACACAGAGAAACCCTGTCTCGAAAAACCAAAAAAAAAAAAAAAATAAATAAATAAATAAATAAATAAATAAATAAATCTCAAAAAAAGGTTAAAGGCAAAGGAATATGTAACAGGTCCATTGGGCATAGGCTAGGATGGAATGTAAGTATAAAATTGAATCTGTTCAAAATGCCTACTTTCTTTTAAGCAAAATACACCACAAATAAGTGAACAAGGAAGGCATCGTGGTTCTATAGCAAATCAATATTTGTTCTAAATTAGGCATGGGGGTCACACCTGTAATCTTAGCATTCAAGAGGCTGAAACAGAAGTATGGTGAAGTCCCAGCCAATCTGGGTTACAGAAGAAATACCTCGTCTCAGCCAGGCGGTGGTGGTGCACGCTTTTGATCCCAGTCCTCGGAAGGCAGAGGCAGGTGGATCTCTGTGAGTTCGAGGCCAGCCTGGGTTACAGAGAGAGTTCCAGGAAAGGTGCCAAAGCTACACAGAGAAACCCTGTCTCGGGGGGGAAAAAAAGGAAGAAAAGAAAAGAAAAGAAAAACCTTGTCTCAAAACAATGTTATTCTAGCTGGGCAGTGGTGGCTTTAATCCCAGCACTCAGGAGGCAGAGGCAGGCAGATCTCAGTGAGTTCGAGGCCAGCCTGGTCTACAGACCTAGTTCCAGGACAGCCAGGGCTACACAGAGAAACTTTGTTTAAAAAAAGAAAAACAAACAAACAAACCTTGTTTTCATTCTAAGACCATAGAAGAACATGAACTCTGAAGTTACTATTTTTTGCTGACATCTTGGCCCAGAGCTTCCAGAGTCCCAACCTGAGACCCTACTTACTTTGTGTAGGACATCAATTCCTACGTAAATCACTTCCTCATACATTCTGTTTCCTGCCAGGCTCAAAGTCCTTATCTCCCCCACTGTGGAGGAGTGGATGTCCATTTCTCAGGAGCAGTGGACTGCTTCCGGCAGATAGTGAAGACCCAAGGGGTGCCGGGGCTCTGGAGCGGACTGACAGCTAACTTACTAAAGGTGAGAAGGGTGGCCGTCTCCTGCCTCTCTCTGTCTCCCAGTCACTTCCCTTCCTTATCACCCCAGTACAATTTGCATGAAAACACCCCATCCACCACTAACGGACACTGCCCATCAACCCTGATTAATGCAATAGTGGAGAATCCAACACCCCATCCTAGAAGAACTGAACATTTAGTCTCAACTAGAATTTTCTAACAGTGGGACATATGAACCCCTAAGGAGAATACAGCCCCCTTCTAAAATTGTCTGCCAAAATACAAATATAATACATGATTGCATCATATTTCCATAGACTTCCATCACCAGAATTAAGAACAAGAATTCTGAACTAGCCACGTGAATACATGGATATTCACATGTAAACATCCAGTCAAGACCAGCATATAGAAATGAGCAGTGGGGCTGGAGAGATGGCTCAGAGGTTAAGAGCACCAACTGCTCTTCCAGAGGTCCTGAGTTCAATTCCCAGCACCCACATGGTGGCTCACAACCATCTGTAATGAGATCAGGCACCCTCTTCTGTATACATAATAAATAAATAAATCTTTAAAAAAAAAGGAAAAAAAAAAGAAATGAGCAGTGGCAGTCAGGCGGTGGTAGCACACACCTTTAATCCCAGCACTTGGGAGGCAGAGCCAGGTGAATCTCTGTGAGTTCAAGGCCAGCCTGGGCTACAGGAAAGGTACCAAGACTACACAGAGAAACCCTGTCTCGAAAAACCAAAAAAGAAAGAAAGAAAAAAGAAAGAAATGAGCAGTGGCAGATCAACTATATGTGTATTAATGTAGAGCCAGTGCTTGCCCAGGGCAAGCCCTTCGGTGGCTCTGACACCCTTCTTCCCTCCCACACTGTACCAGTTTTCCTTCCTTCTTTCTATATTCCTTGATTCCAAAAAGAATTACCATGTAGTACTGCCCACAGCTATTATCTTAGTTTACCCTGGTGCAACTCCACTGCAGAAGCACATTTTCTTAATAATTTGATACATGGCTCCAAAGTGTTAAGTTCAGTTCAGGGTAACTTCCCTGATCTGTTAATTAAATTGGCTAAAGGGGAAAGATTCAACAGGGAGTGTTACTCCATATACTTCCTAGTGCACACCAATAAAAAAAAATTAGCCAAGCAGTGGTGGCACACACCTTTAATCCCAGCACTCAGGAGGCAGAGGCAGGTGGATCTCTGTGAGTTCGAGGCCAGCCTGGTCTACAGAGTGAGTTCCAGGACAGCCAGAGCTACACAGGGAAACCCTGTCTCCAAAAAACCAAAAAAAAATTAAATTAAATTAAAATTATTTTTTTTAATTTATAAAAAGTTATTTAACATGTAAGCTGGAGAGATAGTTCAGTGATTAAGAGTGTTTGCTGCTCTTCCAGAGAACCTGAGTTCAGTTCCCCACACCCATGTTGAGAAGCTCACAACCACACATAACTCCATTTCCTAGGGATTTAATACCCTCTTATGACTCCCATGGGTGCCCAAACACACACACACACACACACACACACACACACACACACACACACAAATAAATAAATAAATAAATAAATAAAAGTAAATCTTTTGTTTGTTTGTTTGTTTACCCAAGTTTTATTTGAGAAAAGAACTGCTAACACAGATACTTTTTCAAACAAGGATGAAAGTTTGACCAAGTTATTTTTTTTAATTATGGAATTGTTTCAAAAACATCTGTAGAATTCTGATGCTCTGTTGGGGATTTGAATGAGAAATGTCACATATAGGTTCCTGTGTTTGAGTACCAGTTGTTGGTGCTGTTTGGGAAGATTACAGAACCTTTAGGAGGTAGGGGCTTGCTGGAGGAGGTACATTACAGGGGCGGGGGTGGGGGGGTGGGGGTGGGCTTCAGGTTTTATAACCCGGTCCAATTTTCTGCTGTTTTTCTGCTTCCCGAGTGTGGATACAATAGCTGGCTTTCTGTTCCTGCCACCGTGGCCCCACCCACGCCTTCCTGCCATGGGAGGCTATATCCCCTCTAGAACTATAAGCCAAAAGCTCTTTCAATCCTAAATTACTGTTGTCAGGTTATTTTGTCACAGTAACAGAAAAGTAACTAAGACATGCTTCGGTGATAAAGTGTTTACTTTTTGGTGCCTTTACTTGTAAAGAAGTAAATCTTTTTTTAAAAAAAGAATGTAATGCCATTTTCGTTTTCTGTTTAACAGGTAGTTCCATATTATGGAGTTATGTTTAGTATGTTTGAGTTCTGTAAGAGAATTTTTCTTTATCAAAATGGTTACATCCTGTCCCCAGTGACCTATAAATTGACCCCAGGGGTGGACCAAAGTTTGAAGCCCCAGGAGTTACGGGAATTAAAGAAGTTCTTCAAACCCAGAAAACTGGAATCTAAAAAGCCAACTCTGTAAAGCTGACTGGAAGAAGGCTGGTAGAAGACATGCGCAATCACAGATGACTATGGCCTCTTACCTGTGCACGTCAGAAGGAACAATACATCACCTGGGAACCCCGAATCTTCCCTGTGAATACCTGTGCCTTGAAAAGCTTTTCTGACACTGCTCTGTCGCAATGGCACTCCACCAGACTACAAGGAAGCCTAGTAGCAATCAGATGCGCAGTATACCCCAGGAGAAACCTCGGGAAGGAACATTGCCGCAACACTTCAGAGCACCTTGTAGCTGAGGTAGCAGGGCAGAGAGCATGTCACGAGCCCAGTCATGGAAGTGCAGGTAGAGTAGGGCAAGTTTTTCTCACATTGACCTGTGGCTTCACCACACAGACTTCTTAAACTCATACCTTTGCTGAGAGCACCAACCACCATGTCAGTTAGGCCTTATCAAAAACACCAAATGAAAACGTTTAGATGGTTTTTTTTTTTTTTCTAAATGATCTTGCTACAAAATCCAGGCTGCTCTCAGAGTCATGGTCTTCCTGCCTAGACTCCCAGCCAGCTGAGATTATAAGTGTGTACTGCAATGCTCATCCTCAGAACCTTCATTCTTCATTGAAAAATCAGGCACCTGGAGCCCATGGTGGTGGTGCACGCCTTTAATCCCTGCACTGGAGAGGCAAAGACAGGTGGATCTCTGTGAGTTCGAGGCCATCCTGGGCTACCGAGTGAGTTCCAGGAAAGGCTCCAAAGCTACATAGAAAAACCCTGTCTCAAAAAAGAAAGAAAGAAAAAGAAAAATCAGGCACCAGAAGCTTAGAAACTTCTACTTCAAGAAGGCAGTTTTCCATATGACTTTTTGTTTTGTTTTGTTTTTCTGAGACAGGGTTTCTCTGTGTAAACTTGGCTGTCCTGGAACTCACAGAGATCTGCCTGGCTGTGCCTCCCGAGTGCTGGGGTTAAAGGCGTGCGCCACCACCGTCCCATGACTTCTTAATGATGCACTGAAATTCCTGACTCAAGTCATGCACAGTTCCATCGGCCTTAATTATCTGCCTTTTTAACTTGCTTTGTAAGCCTACCTTGAAAATAAATTATTCAATCATCTTCCACTATTCCCACAAGATGTCCTAGTTGCCTAGATAGGATAAATAGAACATATGATACACATACTTCCCCGCAAATGGCATGAAATAAAAATCCTTTAGGCTAATAACCCATTGGAGAGGTTTTTGTTTGGTTGGTTGGTTTTGTTTTAATGTACTCAAATGGGGATTCCGTGTAAAATTTATACAAATATACTTCTCTAATACTACCATTGTATGCATTTTAAAATGCATTAATATGTAACAATATGTGGTGGTGCCCATCTGCAATCACAGCCCTTGGGAGGCTAAGGCAAGAAGACCATGAGTTCAAGTCCATCCTTAGTTACATAAGTAAGTTCAGGTTCCTCATATACATATTGAAATCTTATCTCAGAAAATAATAGGTAAATAAATAAATATATTTCTGAAATGAATTCACATATATTTTCTGTTCCTTCCCTCTACCATATACATGAAAGTTTTCAGAATGTTTAAAGTATTTTTTTTATTAAACTTATTTTCTAAAGGAAAAAAAAATGGGGCTGGAGAGTTGGCTCAGCAGTTTAGAGCACTTGTTGCTTTGCAGAGGACCTGGGTTCAATTCCCTGCACCTACCTGCATGGTGGCTCAAAACCATCCATAACTCCAGTCCCAGGGATCTAATACCCTCTTCTGAACTCAAGAAGCACCAGACATGCACCTGATGCACATACATACATGCAGAAAAACACCCACATACATAAAATAAATAAGTCTAAATTTTTTTCCTTAAATTTTTTAAAGGAGAGAAAACTGTCATTTATTCCTAATCAAAGTTATAAAACTATGGTTAAGTTCTCAGACCATAGTCTGGTTTACATATACAAAATAACTCATTTTTCCAACTCCTGTAGCAGACTGTTTTATAGAGAGTAGTGTTGACGTGTAGCCTGATGTGTTAGTGTCTGTGGGGAGGCAAATACTGCATCCAGTCAACACTCCATGTTTGTCCGTTGTGGTTTTCTTTGAAGCAACAAAACAAAATTTCAGAAAATGCTGAATTCTATGAGTGTAGTTTTTGATAAAAGTTGCAATCTAACCTCAGATTATTTATATCTTAGTACTCTGTGCATTCTTCCACAAATACAAGACAGATGCCACTTGGCACAGAGGTATTTTCTTAGCTGCAGGGTTTGTTGTTGTTTTGATTTGGTTTTTGAAGAGTTACTTTTAGTTATTTGTGTGTTGGGTACACGTATATGAGTTGCAGGCACCTGTGGAGGCCAGAGACATCAGATCCCTTGGATCTAGAGTTACAGGTGGCTATATGCTACTGACCATGGTTGTTGGAAACTTCTATAGATCAGCATGTGCTCTTACTAATTAAGCCATCTCTCTAGCCTCACTGAGTTGCAATTTTTTTCAATAAAATCAAGAATGTGTCTCATTTTCCTGAAGTTTCAGAACAACTCCTTAAAATTCTAATTCTGTTCCTAATATGAACTTAGAGCTATTTTTATTTCCTTAGAGGTGGGACAAGATGTTCTGCCTTCCTGACTTCTGGTTACCAGTGTGCACCACACAGAACTAAGAACTTCAGAAGAGGGGGCTGGAGAGATGGCTCAGTGGTTAAGAACACTGAGTGTTCTTCTAGAGGTCCTGGGTTCAGTTCCCAGAGCCCATGTGCAGCTCACAGGTGTCTGTAATTCCAAGAGCTGAAGTCTACCTTCATGAAGTGCCTATCAACCTGTGGTAATTCCACACAGAATTCTCTGATCATCCTTTTATGATGAGGAAAATTAGGTTTCTCTTCCTTTACTCAAAGCACTTTTCCAATTAAATGGCTCTCATTCACTCAGCCATTTCTCATATGATATAATGATATCATTTCACTTTCACTTTCATGATGGCCGTGTTTGAATCTATCTTGGTTTCTTTTTCTTTCTCCCTTCCTTCCTTCCTTTCTTTCTTTTTTTGTTTTTTGTTTTTTTGAGACAGGGTTTCTCTGTGTAGCCCTGACTGTCCTGGAACTCACTCTGTGCTGGCCTCAAACTCATAGAGATCCACCTGCCTCTGCCTCCTGAGTGCTGGGATTAAAGGTGTGTGTCACTGTAGTCAGAAATTTTCTCTGGTCCTGCCCGGCCCCACAGTCTGCATTCCTCCAGTCCTGCCTGACCCCATGGTCCCTTAGCTGCTTATAAAATAATCATTCAGAGACTTAATATTAATTATCAACTGTATGGCCTATGGCAGACTTCTTGCTAGCTGTCTCTTATAACTTAACCCATTTCTATTAATCTATAAGTTGCCACATGGTTGTGGCTTACTGGTACTTTCACATCTTGCTTCTCCTGGTGGTGGCTGGCATCCCCCCAAACTCTGCCTTTCTCTTTCCCGTCTCTCTCCTTGGATTTCCTGCCTGCCTCTAAGTTGCCTTGCCATAGGCCAAAGCAGCTTATTTACTAACCAGTGGGAACAACATATACTCACAGCATACAGAAAGGCATGCCCCAGCACGCCACCACCAGCCGGCTGTCCTAGTTTCTTAATTTCCTCTTAAATGTGGCACCCAGAACTGAGCCTAACACTACAGGTTGGCCAGCAAAGACAAAATGGAACTGAAAGTTTCCCTGATCTTATGTTCTATACCATATTAGTCCAACTCAAGCAAGAATCATCAGTGCAAGAATCATCAGCACTTTTGGCATTGGCAACTCCCAATTAACCAAGATCTCCCAGTTCTCTCTCTCTCTCTCTCTCTCTCTCTCTCTCTCTCTCTCTCTCTCTCTCTCTCTCTCTCTCTCTCTCTCAATTTGTGTGTGTTGGTGCTTTGCCCACATGTATGTATGTGCACCACATGTGTGCCTAGTGCTTGAAAAGGGTGTTGGATCCCCTGGGACTGGAGTTTCAGGTGGTTGTGAGCCACCGTGTGGGAGCTAGGAACCAAAGCTGGGTCCTCTGCAAGAGCAGCAAGTGCTCTTAAGTATTTGTACCCGCTGAGCCATCAGTGAATCCAGCACTCCCAGTCCTCCCTTGCACACATGCCACCATTAAATCCTGCCTCTGCACCCTTAAATGCCTTGCTCTAAATAGAATGTTAGAACCCTTTACTGTGCTCCTTCCCATTTTACAAGCCTGGGCCTATTCTGAACTTTGCCTTTTGTGAGTCAACTCCCAGAAGTCTATGGTATGTTGGTCTTTGTCCTGGGAAGACTAGGTGTCCTTCTGTTACCTTTACATGTATTTTGGAAAAAAAACAAAACAAAACAACTGTGCTCATCAAAAAATAACCTATGTGGACATTGTAGTTTACCAGGTGTCTTTCCCTTTTTAATTTCTCATCAGAACTTTTCAAAATTGTACAAATCTGAATTTTCTCTTTGGACTCCTCTCCCTCATGAATTGTCTTTCTCTTTGGTATCTGACCAGGATATCACATTATCTTTTCTCTAAATTCTACCTTAAGCATAGACACAGACACATATTTATGCACACACTTTACCTAGCCTATGTGAGCATGCTGTTTGCTTAGGAGAGACTGATGGCGCAGCCACACCCTTCCAGATTCTTGTCACTCACACTCACCAATCAGATCTTCTTTATCCATTGTCCGTATTAAGTCCAGCCTGGTGACATACCTCATTGTTTCTCATTAGTGTGAGAACTCCTAATTATCAGGGAAAGGGCCAAGAATTTAGCAGACATGGACTGTGAAAAGGTGCTTGCTACAAGCCAGATGATCTGACTTGAATTGCTGGGATGTACATGATATGGTGAAGAGAAGAACCTCTGGCAAGCTGTCCTCAGAGCTCTACAAACACATACATCATAGCACATACATGCCCACACACATACAATGAGTAAATATATGTAATTAAATTCTGAAAAGAACTTATCAGATATGTTGCTATCTAAATAATGAAATTATAATGGATAGTCTTTGTCTATTGTCATAACATCTTGCCTCTGACAGCTAGCTATATGCAGTACTCTTCATTTTATTTTGCTGAGCAATGTCTTATGTATGTCCACACTACATATTCGTATCTCCCTTTCATTCTTTGGTTCTATTTTTGTGGTGGTTTTTAGAGGTGGAGGATCTCCCAGTGCAGCCCATGCTGGCCTGAAATTTACTATTTCCCAAAAGCTAGTCTGAAACTGCAATCTTCCTGCCTCAGCCTTCTGAATGCTGAGACTACGTGGTATGCCACCACACCCGGGGGTGAAATTCTTAGTAACATTTTTCAAGAATTAATTTTAGCTGGATTTAGTGGTTTGTGCCTTTAATCCCAGTACTCAGAAGACAGAGTCGGTTGGATCTCTCTAAGTTCAAGGCCAGCCTGATCTACATAGTGAGGACCCCTTTTAAAAAAGAGAGCTTGTTTTATTTATGATTTTGAGTGTGTGTGTGTGTGCACATCATGTGTGAGAGTGAATACAGGCACACCCGTGCAATGGTGCATGTGTAAAGGTTAGAGGATTACTCACTGGAGTCTGTTCTCTCCACCACTGCACCGTCTTGCTTACCCTCCTCTGGTTACTTTTGAGACAGTGTTTCACTGTGTAATCCCAGCTGGCTTCAGACTCACAGTCTTACTTCCTCAACCTCCAGAGTGCTGCGATTCCAGGTACATACCCCCATGTCCAGCTTTTTCTTGATACTTTTCACATTCTAGTTGATAAATTACTGGTGATAACCTTCTTGAGAAATCATTGTTCTTCACTTCCCTGTGGTATCTCTCAGCCAGGTTTCCCTTTCCTTGACCATATCAGCCAGAAGTCCCATCCCATGGTGTCTGATCAATGTGTATAATATTGTGTTTTCCTGCTTGTAGAAAATTCATTGTATGACCTACATTCTAGGCATCGGTACATAGATATCCAAGGCCTTGGTATTTCTTGAGCTTTTTCCTGTTTTTTTTTTTTTTTCTTCAGAACTACCAGACAGTGCCTTAGCTTCAGTTCCTGTTTCTTTATTACACTTGTATTTTCCATATCCCCCAGAGCCACAATAGTTACTCATATAGAGCCCCACCATGTCTCACTGGAGAAGTGAGTTTCTAATGAACTGACCAAATATAGATCATCAATATAATCATCACCATCATTAATATTATTCTTTATTCTCCTGACCTCTTGTTCCTGGTCTTTTTCTTTTGAAAGTTTTTAACTTTCAGACTTTAAAAAATGTTGCAAAAACAGTACAAGGGAACTGGGGATATAGTTCAGTGGTACAGTGCTTGGCTAGCTAGCATGCACGAGAGCTGACATTCAAGTCCCAACTTTGCAAAAAGGATACACTTGAGAGCGGGTTGACATCCACAATACAAGGCACTCCTAATCTCAACAGAAACAATAATAATAATCCAATTTAAAAGTGAGCAATAAATCTACACTTGATCTCAGTCAAAAGGCCAGGAAGCTATAGCAATGAACCTAATCAGACATTTCCTAAAAGAAGGCATGTAAATTGGCCAATCACCATGAAAAAAAGATGTCTGACATCACTTGTTATTAAGGCAGAGCAAAAAAAAACCACAGTGAGGTAACAACTGCTCTTATCAGAAAGACTGGCAAGAACAAGCACCGATGAGGGAGTGGAGAAAATGGAATCCTTGCATGTCATTGGTAAGGATGTAAATTAATAATGCTACCCTGGAAAACTAGGGAGATTCCTCAAAAGACAGGTGTATTGTATAATTCAGAAAGCTCACTAGAAGGTATGTATCCAAAAGAAATGCAATCTGGCATGTGGAAGAGACATCTTCTTTGTTGTTGTTGTTGTTTTTTGTTTTGTTTTTCTTTTTTTTTTTGCTCTTTTTTTTTTTAAGATTTATTTATTTATTATGTATACAGGAGAGGGTGCCAGATCTCATTACAGATGGTAGTGAGCCACCATGTGGGTGCTGGGAATTGAACTCAGGTCCTCTGGAAGAGCAGTCAGTGCTCTTAACCTCTGAGCCATCTCTCCAGCCCCTTGTTTTTCTTTTTTTAAGATTTTATTTATTTGTTTATTGTGTATACAGTGTTCTGCCTGCATACATGCCTGCACACCAGAAGAGGTCACCAGATCTCATCTCTATAGATGGTTGTGAGCCACCATGTGGTTGCTGAGACTTGAACTCAGGAACTCTGGAAGACCAGCCGGTGCTCTTAACCTCTGAGCCATCTCTCCAGCCCTTGTTTTGTTTTTCGAGACAGGTTTCTCTGTGTAGCTTTGGGCCTTTCCTGGAACTCACTTTGTAGCCCAGGCTGGCCTTGAACTCACAGAGATTCGCCTGGCTCTGCCTCCCAGAGTGCTGGGATTAAAGGCGTGCGCCACCACCAGCTGGCCAAGACTTCTTCTTTCCCACAGTCATTTCTGCACTAATCACAAGAACCTCAAAGTAGACACAGCCTGAATGTCCATCACCTGACAAGTAGACAGAAAATATGAACCATACCCAC